CGAATTGTGTATCGTCGAATAGTATTATCCTGCTACCTGTTTACTCATAGATTATTTAGAGATCTTGATCACGGAAAAACTGACATTCTTCTAGAAAAATGATTCAAGCCAAAATTGAGTTTGCGATATTTGGCTATCATTTTAAGATGTAACAATCACTGGATAATTTCAAGATCATGTCAAAAGATGACAATTTCTTCTCTCTTGTGATTTTGAATAACTGCATGTTCATGTTAAAGATTGATGCCGATAGATTATTATCGATAGTTTGATTCCATTGAAAACTTGGTTGTTTTCAGCACCCAGATGTGGCCGAGTGCTCGGTGTTGGGTTTATCGGATGAAGATTATGGTCAAGTTGTTTGTGCAGTAATAGTGCCTGAAGCTAGTGCAAGGGAAAGAGCCAAGCAAGAATCAAGACCGGCCATGACCCTTGAAGAGCTTCAGGCCTGGGCTAAAGATAAGCTTGCACCCTACAAGGTTTGTGCATGCTTTCTTTTATATTTTGGAGTTGGGTTTTTTCGTCAAGTGTGTGCTAGCATGAAAAAGTGGATAGTGGGTGGATGGGTGGTCCAGATCTTGCTGATGCCGAAGCGTGCTGTCAATCTGGGCCATCCATCCATGATTTCAACTCTCTGTTCCTGGTGCGTGTGTGCACGCATGCATATTTGCTTTGTGTGTGTATGTGTGAGAGGGATGCGGAAAATGCGATTTCGTAATAGGCATCGAAGCACAGGAGAGAGAGCGAGAGAGGCTTGAAACTTCTCTTGGTTATTTGGGTATGGTTTCCTCTTGTACTTTTTCCCCTTTGCACTTTCCTAACTTCTTGTGTTGCTTTCAATTCTTCCAGATTCCCACAAAATTATTTGTCTTCGATGCCTTCAAGAGGAATCATATGGGAAAGGTGTGATCCATTGTTTTTCATTCTTTCCTTTATTTTATAATATCTTGATTTAAACTCTTTCAAGACTTTGGATCATCATTTTTTTATTGGTGGTCGACAATCCGTAGGTGAACAAGAAGGATCTGAAGAAAGAGCTTGAACAGCTTGAGCAATGAGACCACACCACTCGAGGGCGAAAACGAAGGCCTCATACCTAGGTTTAGTAGTGTGTGTGGAACAAAATATTTTGTTGATTAATTTTGTATCAGCTTTTTGTTAGTAGTTGACGATCAAAAGGCATGCATGTAATATTTATGAATTTATCAATGTCATTGTATGGCCCTATTGGTTTTGAAATCTCAGACCTACTGCTGCAGTTTATGCACCCTACGTCCGCTAGGTGAGGGCAATGAGGTTCTCCTCTTTCTTCCTTTCTTCTTTTTCCTTTTTTTTTTTTGACAAGATTACATAGGAATGGAACTTGATGTTGGGTTTATGTGCCCTTTAAAGTTTTATGAGTGCTTGTAAAATAAAATAATATAGTGGAACATGAACTCAGTGGGAGTGTGGTCCCTCGTGGACCATACTAAGCAAACGATGGTTTGCTGATACCGATATGTGCTTAACAATCTAAGCCAGTCGGTTGGAAAAAACCCATGTTACTTGGGTATGAAAAACAAACCGATGAGGGTTTATGGGTTTAATGAGGTCGAAGAATATGCTCGGATGAGTGAGCCGAGGGACTGTGTGACCCTTGTATATGATGGTGGCCTATTAAGACGGGGGCCAAAATTTTATCCATGTTCCATCACACGGCATGCATATTGATAGATCGTTCGGAAAAACCAGATATCCACATTTGGGTGAAGCGTATGCATGTGCGAGAGATACCCCTATGCGCCATAGAGCTGTGGTCGCATCAGATCGTGGTGACCTTGACTCTTCTCTAGGGGAGGACCTATAATCCACAGACTGGGATTGCAACCCCTTGATTCATCGACCTGACTTTGGTGACTCGCTAATGACCCTTGCTTGGGTTGTGGGTCATAGGAAACACTGGGTCGGTTCGATAAAGCTAGTGTGGTTTGTAGTCCACAGTTGATGGTGAAGTATCCCGTTATTACATATTGGATTCCTAAAACCATATGGATCATTTTCCCATTATATTAATTTAATTGTGTTAATTTTATTATTGAAATGATTTTAGTTTTATTATTTGAATTTTAGGAATTTCTTAATATTTTATTTGTGATTTTTGGACTTATAAAAATACAGTTATTGTTTTTACAAAGTTATAAAAATTCAAATATATATTTTAAATTATTTTATTTAATTTTAAAAATAATATTTTTTCATGGGGCCTATAGTGCACATGGGCTCACCATGTGGCATGTGGGTGGGGGCCTACATGTGCCACAAAAGGGTGGCACGCCTCACCCTCTTTGGATTTTCTTGTTTGCTTTTAAGATAAGGTTAGTTTGATTTGTGGCATGTGGTCACAACTTGGACGGGATATATTGACCATGGCTTTATCCATTTTATAGCAAGTTTGTTTTAAAGAGATATAGTCAATTTGAATTGATATGGATCTTATCTTATTTATATTTGATAGTATTTTTCTACTTGATATTATTTGACATATCCTTATGAAATATGTGACATGGATCATGCAATTTTATAGAATACATGATATTTATTTTATTTAAATATATTGATGGGAAAATGGTTTAAGAAAGGGGATAACGGTTGATGCACGTTCGTTAATGTTGATAACCCATCTATGGAAGTGATGACTCAGATCTCTCATTCTACAAGTCACCCTTGATCGACAGTCTATTCTCAATCTCACAAGAAGAGACAAGCTAAGGAAAGCCCTAAGAAACCCTAATCTTATTCAAAGCCTATAAAAAAGGATTGTCTCTACCTAAAAATCTCTACACGTTATGTCTTGTATCTAATTCTCATCTTTCTCTCTCATATCTGGCACGCACCCTAAGGGTTTAGGTTATAGATTTATGGCTAAGGGTTTTAGGGTTTAGCAAAAAGAGAATTCATCTCTCTCAAACTAGGTTGCTAAGAGAATTCACCTAGGGTTTAAGTTTGTGATCAAATGGGTTTATATTCCATTGGTGTGGCTTGGCCGAAATTTGCTTTCTCGGTTCGAGATTGAAGCTATACCGTTGATCCTTCATCATCGGACCGAGGTGACTCGGTATGGAGTGTAATAAGCCCGGTTGAAGTAATCTCTGGCACTCTTCCTTTTGTTTCTTGCAATCTTATCTTTTATTCTCAAACATAGTGCATAATTGTTTTAATGACATCAAGTTGTTAAGATCTTAGTTTTATTGTTATGCTGATTTTATCTTAAAATTTATCTTATTATAATAAAGTCCACATGTATGATCTTTTGTCAAAAGAAAGGGGTTGAAAAAAAAAAAAGAAAAAATAAGTATTCTCCGGTAAAATATCACATAGGTCTTTCTTTCACTTAAAACATTGTGCTATGAAAACCCAACCTTTACTGTCTTGACCCAAGCCCGATTCCTATGAGGAGAGCTCTCTTTCTCTAAGGCTGTGCTTGCCAATTAGAGCTCATATCTCTCTCTCTCTTGGGTTTTTTAAGGTGTGGTTGACAATTGGAATTGCAATTTCGGCAGCCATCTCTCTCAGGTGACTTTAATGATGTGTTAGCTGCAAATTTGATGCGGTGTCTAATGACTTTTAACGGTGTGTTTGACAATGAGCTCCATTTCCCACAGGGTACCACATTTTTTTGGGTTTTAAACTTAGATGACTTTTTATTTGGATTATTGATCTGAACAAAAATTACTCTGAGGACCAAATCGGTTCCGGGAACATATGAGTTCGACCTAGATCTCCAAAACAGCCCATAT